GAACTCGCAATGCCCCGCTCTATGATGTCAATGATAAGTCGCTTAGATTCGGGAGCGAAGGTAAAATACGAGGCCCGATTACATCTCTCCTATCTTCTGCTGTTTTGCTAACCTAGCCCTTGAAGCACATTACAAATAAGACAGACGAAACCAACACAAAATGGAAATGGAGCAAATGAAAGGTCACACGTAGGTGACGGCGCAGGAATACAAGTATTCGTACTTAATGGATATCCGTGTTGCATCTGCAAAATTGAGGGTGCTATGGCGTGAATCGCGATGCTCCGCTCTATAGGCTGCCATTGAACTGTCGCTCTGGTTCAGGGAAAATTTAAAAAAACCAGACCCAAAAGGTCTCCCCTATATTCGGCTGGGTAGATATTTGATCTTTCTCCGTGTTTTTCAATTTGATGTCTTATTATTTTTTAAAGATTGTAGACCTACATCTAAAGTTCGGATATATTGACCCAATGAAACCCGCAAGGCGCGTATTAACAGCGATCCTTGGGTCAGTTTGACCCGGGTTGAGCAATTTGGCATGTCGACGGCGTAAGTCCGCAATCACATATCTCGTTTGCGGTGTCTGAAAATCTCCGCCTCTAAGTTATTTTTTTAAAGGAGAACAAATTGACATCATTTCTTGAAGTTTTTGCAGAATTTTCTTCGCACAGTGAAGAAAAATCACGGCAGTTTTAAAGAATTACCATTGAGCAGTTTTCCGTTTAGAAAATAAAGTATGATAGGAAGTCTGCGACGTCGCAAACCGAGCTATGTGATTGCCGACTTTACCGTCGATGTAAGGGTTGATCCCATAATTTGGCGAAATTTCAGAACCTATCTCATTGCTTGTAACTTGACTAAGTAAACTATTGGTTCGTAAAGCATTGCACAAAAAACCATTGTACAAACTTTATAAATAGACCATAAAAACTTTGGATCAAACAAAATTGGGTAAAGCGTCTGGCCACCCAATATTCTGCATAAATTTCAAGCTGTAAGGTTGACTTGTTTTCCTTCGAAAAAATCAATTAGGAGCGGAGATTTTGAAACACCTCAATGGAGATACGTGATGTCCCTTTTTCAAATGACAACAGCATTGAAAATCTGGTGTGGAAAAGTGAGTTCTGCCCAGCTCAATAAGATCTGAATAATAAATGATGTGCATTCCAGGAATGAAGTTTCCAACTAAACCAATAGTGCCGTGCGAGTAACCCGAGATAAATCTGTAAGATTCGCAAGGATTACGTTCGTTCGTTCTATTATATTCCATAAAAAATTCGGAGAAAAGTCATCCCGAGTAAATCTGCAACGAAATCCATAGACTCTCCCGGGATTTTTCCCGGAAGTACCCTCCTCATTTTCTTCATTTCATATATGCACAAAAATGAGATTGGTCTGTTCTCAAGATGACTTATTGGATTTTGTTTTCAGGTCGGAAATTGTAATTCGACAGTAAACCTGAACCACGTCACTCAATTACATTGTCTCAAAAGCTGCTCTCTTTTATTGTTCAAATGTAGAACGAGTCAAAATTATCCCCTGAAATCTTTGCTGAACATTTCTCACAGAGATGAAAAATTACGACAGTTCTCAAGGAATGACGTTAATTCGTTTTCCGCTGAAAAAATTAAGTGTTGCAGAAAGTCTATCACTTGGTATATGTATTTACTTTCCTTAAAAAATATTAGCACATTAAAGGCATTGAATGGATCAACATCGAAAGCTGCATATTTATTAAGGTTTGTTGTATGCCAACCCTGTGTTTCTCGCGTCTTGTTGCAGAAAGAACACAAGTTTTAGGAGACATCCTGAAATTCAATTTTCCTCATTTGACAGGACTAATTTCCAAAAAAAGTCACGAGCAAATTGATTTACTTCATTTAGATGTGGTCCATCAAGTGATAGTATTACATATTTGTTTCAAATAATTTTAGATATCTTCTTGTCTAAAATATTCGAAGTCAGTCAGAAAAATAACGGACCTGCAAAACAAATAAGGAAACTTACCGTTTGCTCCAATTAAGTACTTAGGGACCATCTAAGCATTATGTAAGCCTCTATAATGGGGGAGGGGGGGGACTAAGTTTGCATTACCGAATCTTATAAAGGAAATACAGGGTATTGCCCAGCTTTAAATAAGCCTTTCAGCGTGAGAAATATATTCTTTTCCAATGAAAATAATTTTTGAAGGGATTTTCCAGACTTTTCCCGTTCTTTTTTTACGTGGTAAATGAGAGGGTTCGGGGAGTCTTTTAACTCAAAGAGGTTGTTTCCTGAGTGATTTATATCGTGGCCCCTCCGACGAGGTAAGGGCGTATCTCAATTTGCACATGAGCTCTGTTTCACATATAAATCCATGCTTTCTGCGGCCCAATTATTGAAATTGATAGACATTGAAGACACAGGGAGTATGAAGCTATCCTATTGGTTGAAATTGTTGGTTCTCATAGACTATGGAAGAAACTGGTGGACTAACTATCGGATCCCTCGTGGGTTGCCGTTATTTAGACTACCCCTACCTCCTTGGTCTTGCAGCCACTCGCTTCCACGAATAGGATCCCTCCATATATATTTTATCTTCTTTGTCTATAGCTTTGTCTATGGATTTCAATAATCGGTCCGCTGGGGTTCATGCAGAAATGGAGATACGCTCTCGGAGGCCCCGAGGGGAATGAAAAAGACGACGAAAAAGCTGTACGAAAGGAATTGGAGCGGCTTGTTCCTTGAAAGGCTCCTTATCTGCATGGGATTACAAAGGGGAGTGTTAAAACCTGCTTTGCAAGGCCCTCAAGAAACACCCTCATAACATCTCGGTGAAAAAAAATTAATTTAAATTTACCGGAAATGGAATTTGATTAACGGTGGCTGTGGAAAAAATGCGCGTACTTTGAGTAGGATCTCCTTGTTCAGAGCCGAGCTACTCCCGACTCTGTTGGCATGGCTCTCTTATTCGTTCTCCGTGCGTTAGCCCCGGAGGAGCTCCTTGATTACCTCGTAAAATCCAGACAATAACTTTTGATTCTTGTATCAGGGCAGGAGGAGGAGCCTCGCGCAAATGATCCATTATCGATATTTCCCCACTTGAAGCTGTTGTGAAGAATCGATTATCAAGGTGCTCTCTGCCAAAATCTTTTATATCGATCCTTTTCCATGGGTTCAAACGGCGAATCAATGGCTACATCGCAAAGGACGCCACGCCAGTTTGCTCGGCTCCCAACTCATAGAACAATATTCTGGGAAGGAGCATCGGGGCGCGTGATTCCTAACTTCCTCCCGAAAGTTTGGAGCCGACCAAGTTCCCTCGCACGTGGCTCCTGCAACTTTGACCCGAGTTCCGCTCCGAGATATATCGATCCCTCGGATTTCGGTCCTATCTCGCCGGTGGAACCTATCGGATATCGATGTATCGATTGCGTTCATCTCGGACGTGCGCGCCCATTAACAGCCTGTTTCACGGATTACTGCGTCTTAACCTCCACGATTATTGAATCGTGCGTCCTTCCTTTCCACAGCTGCAGATTTTGATTGATCGTCACCCACTCACAAGTCGTCCTTTTCCGGAAGGAAGAACCTAACTACATCTAAATGTTGCGAAATTTCCACTCGCAAATTTTACTTTCACGAAGGAGGCTGTCGGGCGTTTCTAGTCGAAAATTTCACTGACTTTACTTTCAAAAACACGCTGGAATCAGAAATATTTTGCATCGGAGAGCGCGCCATCACATTCTTCCCTCAAACTACATATTATTGAATGTCATCGAATATTATGCAGTTTCAGTCAGTTTTGCAACCTTGGAACGGAGTTACGCGCGTTCCCTCTTTCGGATAACGACAAAGCTGGCCGCGATAAACTGTTTTTGATCCGTCCATTTTGTAGCAATTAGATCGCTTATGGGTAGCATGGAGCCACGCGCATGTCTCTGAATCGTGATTTGTAGGCTAAGTTACGTAAATTAACAGAATTTGAGAAATATAATCTGCCCAAACGTCGAGTCTCCTCGTGGAAAATTGACGAACATGACGCTCCGTAAATATCATGGTGCATTATGCCATCCAAAGTTTCCGCCCCGGAATCAACCCGGGTTGAATCGGTCATTAAAAACTAATAACTTATTGTCGGTCAAGCACAATATTTGAAAACTTTTCAAGAACAGTTCAGCATATAACAGATTGAAAGCAGCTGAGTGCCTGATCAGATTCGAGTATACTAAAAGTGATTCGACGGTCGCCATTTTTTGTGTCAGAGCGACGTACAATATATCGTATCAATTCGTTCCATAATTTCAGCTACTTTTCATTTTTTCGAATTTTGAGATCGCACTTTCTGTTGTCATGAGACCAAAGAATTCATGTACCAAACGTGACAAAAAATTCAACGTAATAAAGGCAGGGTTTTTCAGAGGCAAAATATCGCATTCGAGTGCAGTTTCGATATCAGCATCGAATGCGATATTTTTCCCCTGCCTTTATTACGATTAAGTTCTCTGTCAAAGGTACATGAATTCTTTAGTCTCATGACAACAGAAGTGCGATCTCAAAATTCGAAAAAAATGAAGAGTAGCTGAAATTATGAAACGAATTGATTCGATAAATCGCACGTCGCTCTGACACAAAAAAAAGCAACCGTCGAATTACCTTAAGCTTCCGGGGTTTTCTTTTGATTTGTCCCCTGTTTTGGAGCTTCTCCTCGAATGTTTTACCCCTCCAACAAATGGACTGAGTTAAGCAGAAAGGAACCAACTTACATTTTGGAAAAAATTGAGTTATGAGTGGTTTTGAACTCAACCACTGCTCTACTATCTATCGCCAAAATTTCAAAGTTTTTGTTCGAGCAAATTTTGCAGAAATTGCACTTTAGGTTTATCTTTTACATTGAGTCTTACGCAGGAGCCAAACTTTAAACCTCTTTTTCTCGGTTCGATCCCGATGTGGCTTGGTTCCTTTCTGTTTAACTCCGTCCAAATAGCATACCTTAATGATAGGTGGGTTTGGTGTTTCAGGTGAGCGCTTACACCCTGGTGGCGATCAGCGTGGACCGATACCTGGCGATCATGTGGCCGCTGAAACCGCGGATGACCAAGTCGCAGGCCAAGGTCATCATCCTGCTCGTCTGGTGCGTGGCCATCATCACCGCCTCGCCGGTCCTCGTCACGACGCAGCTCTTCCAACCCTCCAAGTGGTACAAGAACTGTAACGTCTTCGTCTGCGGCGAGTACTGGCCCAACCCCGTGTTCCAGTACTACTACAACATGATCCTCATGGTCCTCCAGTACTGCGTCCCCTTCACCGTTCTCATCTTCACCTATTCCAGCATCGCCATCGTCGTCTGGGGCAAGCAGCCCCCCGGCGAGGCCCAGAACATGCGCGACGAGCGCATGGCCAAGTCAAAAAGAAAGGTAATCACATTTTTCCCCCTCTAATTTACAACTATAGACGAATTTCATTCACACAAACTGATTGTGGTGGACGCACGAGTCGTAAGACGGTATGTTGAAGTTTTTTGCCAACGTGCGTTAAAATTCAACATGAAGCTGAAAATCTCAATACAGAAGGAAAAAGCTCATATGAGCATAGCTTTCCCTCAAAGAGATATGCTGTTCGGTGCAACACTAGTTACGTCCATTCAAGAAGGCAACTATGCAGACACGTTTCGGCCTTGTTGGGCCAATCCTCAGTGCAGTGCAGCTTCCTGAATTTCCTGCTACGAAGCTTGAGAGGTTGTGAAATGTCTGAACGTGTGAAAGGTCTGTGCTCATATGAGCTCTCTCCCTCTGTATTGAGATGTTCAGCTTTATGCTGAATTTTAACGCACGTTGGCAAACAAACTCCAACATACTGAATTTTATTTACCTGTCGGACACCGATTGTGCCTCCGAACGTGGCAGCTCACAGATTTGTCTTTCCGGCATAATGTTACGCTGCTTTGGACAGTGGACAATAGACATAGAGCGAATGACGCACGAACCACCTTATATCGTCGTCTCCCGCACGAAGGAACGTAACTCCAATCCAAGGTTGCCAAATTGACTCCAACAATTAATTTATTTTACAAAAATGTAAGTGTGCAATTTATATCCAAATTTGTCTGATTTTCGCATGAAATCGGAAGAAAAATCAGTGAGATTTTCAGTTCGAAATGCCCAATACGTTTCTGGTTAAAATGCAATTTACGAAAGGAAATTTGGCAACATTGAAATGTAGTTACGTCCTTTCGTGCGGAAAACGACGATATGACGTCGCGTCATGTCGTTTTGACAAAGTTTGTATAAAGCATATGAGAAGGGATTTGTAACCTGTGACAGAAACACAGGATTTCCGTGGAGCAGTGGAGCTCTTTATATTTGAGCCAAGTCCATTGAGTCATTGAACGGTGGCGTCCGTTAGATACATTTTCACTCCCCCCTGGAATGAGGAACGGGACACGTTCACCTTTTACAGGGCCTTCGCTCTCCGGTCTATTAACCCCGGTCCCCGCCGCTCGGAAACAGCTGTGTCGGCCCAAACGCTGAAACAATCAAATTCGCGTCAACAACTTATCGCGAGAGAGCTCCAGTTTGCCAACTGAACAAGTTGACGCCTTACGACCCGTCAATGGGCACTTGAACCGACGCTCCACAGCTCGGCTGCCGTGTCTCTCCAAAAATGAGACGTTTTCGGGGTTACAGATAGAGTTCATCTAGCCACATGACAAGCGTTCACTGGAAGAAAGACCTTACTTCCGTGCTAAGGAAGTACGCCGCATCAACATTCGAGGTTTGCCAAATTTCCTCGGATACACTATACATTTTTGTCGTAATTTATCTATGTCGCAGGCAATTAGCAATCGCCGGCAATTTGCAGGCTCCGTACCTGTCAATTCGTCAAATTGCAATTACAATGACATCGATGTAGTAAAGGTTTCTTCAGCGAAGAAATTCAAGGCACAGCATAATCTTGGAACGCCTTCAAATCCAGCGATACTCTCCGCCTTGCCGCGGAGTTCGTTTAGTTGCTTAACCAAACCAAACCCAACGCACATTATTGATTGCATTTCACGAACTTGCGAGTGTGCTAGCTGGTAGCATGCATTCAAGAAGAAGGGGATAACGTATATTTGAATTCAAAGCATAATAATCATAACTTCCTATCTCGTTTTTTTACTTTAAATTTGTTTTTAATTTGTTGATTCAACACGAATAGATTTCAATTTGCCGGCGATTGCTAATTGTTTGCGGCATCCATATTTTTCCCAGAAATTTTCAGATATTTTAGAGTAAATTGCAATCAATATTGTCTGAAAATTTTGAGGAAGTATATTCAGAATTGTCCTAATAAATTCAGTTTTTATTGAAGGAACTATGGCAATGTCCGAAGGCTCATACGGCGTTCCTCCTCAGCACGGCGGCTTAGACCACGCATCTTTCAGTACTTGGAGCCATTCTCATCTTGTTCCGTCGATGAGTCGGATTTTTTGAGATCTCAACGGAAAACTCGCTCCTGTGTCCTCAAAGATTGGATGAGTTTCGCTCATTTTTGTGTCCGTATAAGGCATAAAGTTGGGCCACGGTCCGGCGATTGCATGTCCTGACTAGTGGCGAGGCGTGAATGATCGATTAGGACCCCCCCCCCCCCCC